TTGACAGTGCCCACTGGCCAAGCCATCAAAGAGGGGATGACTCAACTTAATGAGCTATTTACTTTCAGGTATAAATTTCAGCTTGTGTTATTACAGAAGCAAACAAAAGACTTGGATAATTGAAAAGCCTAAATCACCACCAACTGGCTCAAACGCAGAATGCAATATCTTATATTCACCTGCCTAAAAAAATGAAATATTTTTTAGAAATATTGTTTTAGCCCAAGACCACAATACCCTCTGTTCCAGATGCTTCCTAAAAAAAGCAGGGCTCTGCATTGCATATTATTTATGACTGCCAAAGAATTTGTAACACGTATGGGCCAGAAGCCTAACTGATAATACTAACGTAGGTACTGTACATGCAGTACTTTGTATTTACAATGCTGGCTTTCAAGTGTCACCCGAAACCTTGACAAATAATACACAAAGACTTCTGCAAAGTCATAACTATTGGACAATTTGTCTTGCTTTCCTGTCACACTTTGTTTCAGAGTAGTGAATGCTTGATATAATATGTTCACACATGGTTTCAGAGCAGTAAATGCTTATTACAACAACCTATTTCCAAAAGGTAGAAACGGTACACGGTGACAGGTACACGACAAACGCACATAGCACTTACCAAAAGTGGGAGTATTTGCTGCACTAATTGAAGCAGACGAGGATATTGAAGAAGAACTTTCCGCACGCGGCAAAGAAGCCGAGGAAGGGGGGCTAGTGTTAGATGTCACGGGGGGACTGAACGGTCGCGGCTTGAAAGGAAATAGAAATAGAATTGGTAAAATATTTTTTTTTCAAAATCTTATATATTATTTTGCTCCTGCAAAACATCTAAAAGGTGGCTAATGTACAGAAAATCAACAATCATTTTTTTTGAAAAATGTGCAGAGTGGATAACAAGCAGCTCAATTGCACTTAGGTGATAATTACATGCCTAGATCAATATACTGTATTTTTATATACAAGTGCCATGCTATAGTTTTATTTTATTAACTATTTAACAAAGTGTTACAGAAATCATAAAGTGAATAATATTACAAAATCCTCAAAACATTCACAGATTAAAGTACTATAGAGGTATTAGTGTGCTTTATGTGTTGCATTTTTGGTGTGCTTTGAGTTTTCGTGAGTTGGGACTCCTGCAATGTCACCTTGTAAACAAATACATTAAGAGAATCCAGAAATGATGCAATTTTTTTCCTAGACCGTGTATTTATACCCGTGTTATAACTTGACTGAAACATACAAGTTTACATGAACATCTTGTTTCTTTTTTTCAATAACATTTTATTTTGTTTATGCCAAAATAGTCCCAACATTTGTTGGGGGTACTAATGTTCCCCTTTTTCTGAATTAAATGTTTTACTTATGGTAAGCTATAAAGTATTTTCTATATTTGACCGGGATTCTTTTAATAAATCAGTAATTTTCTCAGATTAAAATTAACTGCTTAAATGTCTGTTATATAACTCCCCCCCCCACAAAAATTATTTCATATAGAAAAGTAGATTCCTTAATGTGTGACTTGACACAACAAAAGATTGTTACACAAGCCACTTTGGCTGACGTTCCAATTTGAGCTACAAATGCCAATATTTCACACATAGGTCTCATTGCAACCGATCAGGCCTCGTCACACACAGGAATGGAGTTTCAATCAAACAGCAACTCTTGAGAAAGTTAAAGCAAATGTTAATTCTAGTGTGAAATTACAAATATAAGTTAGCATTTCTAGGGTAGCCATAAATGGCTGAATTCCCACCCCTATTCGAAGCTCTGGCTGTTCAGGGTTACCTTAAGGCTCCATTCACACCGAATCCATTAGCATCTGATTTTCAAGGGATGTCAATAATGGAAGACAACCCGAAAAATGTATGGGTGTGAATGGAACCAGTTCAACTTCACAACGCTGCATTTCATTGCAGTGTGCTTTAAAAAAAAAAAGGAGTAGAGCATGCACAATGTAACACAACACATCAAAAACAGATGTCAATGCAACGCAAAGGAACACGTTAAAAAAAAAAAAAGTTTGTCCACTCAGAACATGTTAAAGATTGGCAAAAAGAAAAAAATGCAACGGAAGTCAACGGATCTCCATGGACTTAGGCTTTCAGTCTGATTTTGGTGTGAACGGGCCCTAAAATCAATGTTTTACTGATACAGAGCAAAGTAACAATCTTACTTGAATCCTCCGTGTAACATACTCACTGACCTATACTTTCCTCTGCTACCACGTCGTTTAGTCGCTAGGAGCAGAAGAAATCTTTATGTGTAAGGTCCAAGTTACTCAAGTCTTGGCTTACACAGAGTTATGGTCTCTTCTTCTCATTCACTCTATGTGACAGTGATGAGAAATTCAAGCACTTGTGCTGTCACATGGAGTGAGCCACAAGCTTCTCGATACTCGTAAGTAGCATGTACTTCCAGCAACTGCAATGAAAGGTAACATGGTGCTGCTGGGGAGGGGGATATAGCCAACCCTCTTTTGTTTAATGAATCTCACACAAATATGTGGCCTGGATGCTCCCTATCTCTTCTGGAACTACTTAACTGCAAAGGTGTTGCTCTCGGCATTGGTTAAGAATCACAATACATAGTGATGTGTTCCAGTGCCATAGAAGACAGACAAGCATTTCTCCATTCCTGTCATTCAAGGGGTGACATTTGACTCACTATTATCAGCCTTGCTTTTACTAGAATTTATTTAAAAGAAAACAGGCAACAAGCCACTATTGCGTGTGTGATCATTAGATTTAAAGTGTATTTCCACTCTTGCAGCTTGGGATAGTACACACTTTATTTATTACATGTTGCCATTAAGATTGCAGAACTTACAAATGTCAGCAGAAATGTTTACATATTTTGTTTTTTACTTGCTTAAAAACCCTACCTAGCCTCCCCCCATGTAATGTTGGGGGGGGGGGGGTCTGTGTTTTGTTTACACTAATTAACCCTGTCTGTACCGTGCTGGCAGATTTCGTTATCACTTGTAAACTAGATATAAACATGGTCTGCCCCAACAAAGGGTTAAAGACTTAGCAGCATTGCATGTTAAGAGGAAGCTCGGTCTGTCCCTCTACTTTCACTTACAACCTGCTCAGAATAGTCTGGAATCTGTACAAAGGCCTTCACCAAAGTAAGCTCTAAAGGGTACTACTAGAGATATTTTTTAAAAATAATTTTTAGGTTTTGTGTGTCAATAAGAACACAAGCATATTAGGTTTTCTCATATTTGACTGCAAAAGTGGAAATACACTGACTTATAATCATCACTTTATTCACCTAGTCAGAAACAAAGCATCACACTGCATTACCAATTACCATTTCTGTAGTATTATTGTACTAGGTTTCTAACAATACTCACTACTTCAATAATTCCACTGAGTTTGCCTGAGGGAAGCTTTGGTCTTGATGGAGGTCGCGGAGGTGGTATGATTGTGCCTACAGAGTGTGGTGTGGTTGGTCGTGCAGGTGGTGACACTGTTGGAGAAAACATTATTTTAGTAACAGTTAATGAATGGCTACAGTGCTAAAAAACGTTTAGCTCTTGCTTTGGTTGGACCCCAGGCAATGTTGTTACAAACAAAACAAAAATTACTATCAAAACGTCAAGTCTTACATTAGATGGAATGTGCCTTGCCAAGATGTTACATTGCTCTTTGACCAGAATGTTACTACGCAGGTTAAAGAGATCTATGCTTTACCCAAGCATGCTTAACTGCTGCCCCTCCCAGCTGCACATACCCCCCACTTTATGAGTAGATCAGTGTGACAGCTTGCAAAATGATGAAACACTCTATCCTGCTCCCTGAGCAGTCAATGAGTAATCACCCATTCTATCATGCAGGAGGAAAGGGAGCGAGTCCCATACTCCCTATACACAGATGTAATGGGTATTCTCTTCATTCTTGGGACTGAAAGAAAAGCTGGGGTAGTGAAGGGATGGTAAGTATATGAAGATAGGAGGGCAGCAGTAAAGTAAACCTGTTTCGTCCTGCAAAAGGCAAAGCATAAAGCTGCAGATTTGATCCTGTTCAATCAGGATCATGAACAGTAATAAGGGTAGATGGTAATTTGTGATAGTCTCTTGGTCTATGATAATACTGTCCTAAACTTTACTTCAAGATGACTATTCTGCCAGACAAAAGGTCTCTATTTACTAGTATAAGATGTACAAACACTCATGGTGACCAATCAGGCTAAGCCAGGGGTGGACAAATCAATATGGAATTCAGGAGCCACCATGATTTTTTTTGACAACAACCAGAGAAAACCTCAAAAGTTTGGAGTTAATTGTAATTTTTAAAGAACATTAGCTACCTAGCTCCTGAGATTGGTCCAGCCCTGGCCTAAGCAGACCGGCCTGCCAAAGCTCCGGTCCAGTTCAAAGTCAACATTCCTTCAATATGGAGAGGGCCCAGCTAGTTAGAGCCATAAGGACAATATCAGTATTTTAATCTTTTGTGTTTTTTACTGCTCGTGTTTTACTATCATATACACACAAAGTACAAAGATAATGAGCCAAGGGACCTGCTTAGACTCACAGATACAAAAGCTCAGAGTTACTCAACAGGTATCTTTTTTGCTTCTACGGGTTACCCGGCTTTACATATATATGCAAATGGAAAAACTGTAAAATTCAAACTGCTAAATGTAAACCTTAAAAAAAAAGTACATAGCTCAGCCTGACGGCCCAGTATCACGCTGACTACATAGCTACTGAAATATTAGGAAATGCTACCAACTATTTTCTGCAAGGCCCATAAGGCAACCCACTGTCTGAACTTTACCATCACAAATAATTACCTATAGGCAACAGCTGTCTGTTCATTTCTATAAATGAATGTCCAAAATGTGAGGCCCAATCAAGGCATAACTAATACCACTGCTTCTTCAGCAGATTCCAAACATAGTGATTAGCTTGCAAACTGTAATAAACCGGCCATCATAATTATTTTGTACTTTTTGGATCTTCTTTTTCCTTTTCTATACTGTTAAATATGATTTCTGTTCTGATCTGGTAATGAAGTGCACCTATATGACAATATTAACCGCCAAAATGCTTGTCCCTTCTGGTTTATTCAGTGTGTTTATTAAGGGCTTGTTCACACCATAACTGTGCGTTTCATGGACTTATACACGTTTGTACCGTGATACGTTTTTTTTTTAACTCCATAATCATGATTAGTATGGAAACATTATTTTGGATGCGTCATTGTGCATTCAGGCACATTCAGGCACATTCAGGCATGTTCCGGTGTGAAAAAAATGCATGCTGCTGACCTTTTTTTGAAAACACTGGAAGTGAACACAATGATGTGAACTAGGCTAATCAAATTTACTGTGCTTGCATTTTCCAAGCGTCATTCTGAGCCTGATGAAGGGGACACTCTGAGGCCCCGAAAGCGCTTGCATTTGAATGGCAATGTGCCAATAAATGGACTATTGCTTTATTATCCCTTGGAGTACTGGTGACGTTATTTTCTATCTGATCTTTTCATGGTGCCATCCGTGGCCACTACAAGCACCCACCCGTCCGTACGGGTCTTTTTGACTCTGGTAAGGAGTGCAGTGAGATCTTTTGATTTCTAAAAAACACAGCTGGTGTGAACAATGCCTATACAGCACATGCCCTCAGTCAAGTAACTCAATATATTACACAAGGAAAGTACAGAGGGGCAAAACAGAGACACGCTTTAACGTTTATTGATGTTCTATTAAAAAAAGTCATATCACGTTTGATATGTACGCTTCCCTGATGATCCCTATCATGCACATCTGAACGAGTCTTGGGGGGGCCTTCTTTGACATAAGACTATGTGCACAGAATAGAAGGAAACAAGATTTGCAGGGCGCTGCCCTTTTAAAAACTGGTTTTTAAACACAAATTGCTTGATTGGAATCCGACGACACTATACAAGAAAAACATAATAAGGCTAAATAAGACTTTTACACATCTGGGAAGAGAGTACTATATATACATCAGTGCAATGTATACAAGTGTTTAGTACCATCGCATAACAAAATGTTTATCAGAAATTAAACATTTAAACTCTTCACTCCATGCAGATAAACACATGCAGTTTCAGCACAAAACATCCATTTTCAAAATACAGAACAAGTTTGCATACACAAGTACATCCATATGTAAATCCAATGAACACACATTATGCTTATGACATATGCAAACCGATTAAAAAAAAATGTCAGCAAATCAAGCTGCTTGGAGGCAACATGGGGTAAGAAAACCAAAATCATATTAAAGGATATCAAAATGCAACAGACACAGTATAATGTGAAAAAGGGGTATGAGGTACTTGTCCACATAATGACTAGCAAAGAAGTCCACTATTTGGGACTACACTGCACAACCAAGCAACACAAGGCATGCTTGTCATACCATTGTTTGTATGTACTGTAGGCAGGCTACAGTTGATAGAGGCAGACTTTGAAGGCTTGTCAGAAGGATTTGAGTTTTCTTCAACAAATACATCATCAAGACAATAGTTGGCATTAGAGAAACCTACATATTCTTCAAAAACATAGTTCCTCAAAGTTCTCTCCGACAAATAATAGCGCATGTTGTCAACTTTCTCAAAAGCGCTATGGAATCTCTGAATCTTCTTGCGCCCTCTATTGTACGTTCTGCTGTTACTCTCATACAGAGCAAGCTGAGGCCTTTGAGGCTGTGTGTTCTCTACCTGAGTTTTCATTGTGCCAACATTATGGCTAAAATTGGCACCAAAATCAGATTGTGTTGCGTCTCTGGGATCAGGTATTGGGAAGTCAAAAGTGAACTCAGACATATTACTGGAGGTCAGAGATGTGGGAGAAAAAGCAAAACTCTCAAAAGGCTCCTTTAGTGCAGCTGAAGAAAACATGGGAAAGAAGGAAAAAACAAAACATACAGACGATGAATGTACACTGCTGATGCTGGTAAGATCACCAAAATTCTTACGCTGACACTTTTCGTGTTTCTAAAACAAGGTGAACACCTGTCTGTGAAGGTTCTCATTCATCCAGGTCATGGTATATCTGTAAAAAATAAGTCAAGGCAACTGGACCAGTGAAACGTCTTCAAGAAAAATACAGCAAGTCCAGTTGCCTTGACTTATTTTTTACAGATAAGGTGAACACCTAGTAATAAAATATCACTTTGTAGAGGACTGACCCTTTTAGAGCATAGCAGACAATGTACTGGAAAGGTGGAGAATAAGGCAGGTAGGCCTTTCTAGTACACATTTTGTTTGGTTTTATGTTTAAAAGGAATGTGAAGCTATTTTATTTACAGAAGAACTCTGGGGAAATAACAAAAATGTATCCTTGCTGTGCGGCTATCCCCATTCTCCAAGATGTAGTGCTTATTTTATCTAGGGGGTAACATATAGCAGTTTTACTCACCTTACCTTCAGTC